TCTTCTCTGTCAGTGAATCCAAGAGAGTCGAGGAAAGATCGGCTCCCGTTTGCGTCCCATATATTGACACCGACTTTGGATAACTCTTTGCCGTCAGTACTGCCTCTTATAAACCAAAGAAGTTCTTCGAGAACTCCCCTCCAGAAGACACGCTTTGTGGTCAACAGTGGTATCACTCCTTGGATTCAATTCAATACAAACTTTTCAATACAATTGTCGCACAAATGATAGCGTATTCAATGTTACCATTTCTGAGACAATATCTGGATTGAGTGCCGAACACCGAAACGGTTCCCGTCTTCGTTCGGTCCGACTTCTCGTGTCCGCGAGTCATGATATGTCGGATTAGATCCAAGTATTGGTTCTCGTCGTGTCTGTCATTGTCACCCGTTTTGCCATTTGTTGAACACTTGTCTTCCGGATACGAATCCATCGCTGAAGACATCTAATTAGCCGTTGGATGCGATCGACGCGATCTTCTAATGGACTAGAAATGAGTAAATATGTGACAAAACAATGACAACAAGTGGTGATAATTAGGCGTCAATTGATTAGTGAATTAAACTTATGGTAAAGTTTTGGCAATACTTTTGTATATCTGTTTTGCCGCTAAAATAGTCAATACAGTAAAGGGTTGTCTATAGTGAACACTACACCCATAGACATAGCATTAGTCCAATGGACCAAATGAACCTAGATACTTTATCACTCATTTATTATAGTTTAATTGCAAACAAAATCAATTGACCACAATTTGATGGTTGGGTACATTATTGATACTGTTTGTAGAGAGAGTTGACTGTATTTAATAAACCCTTCGTACAAAGGGTTTGCAAATCAATAGACTTTACTTACTGTGAGATTCAAGGCTTTCAATACAATTAGTGGCAAATATTGGCAAATATTTTGTACACAACTGTTGCTGTAGTATATTCTCAACCAATTATGTATTTCTGGTACACTATAAGCCAAAGTACACTAAAATACATGTTAAATTGAGTTCACTATATGAGGGGTAGTCTATTTACCGCGATATTGATAAGTTGATGTCCGATATGATAGTCCAACGATTG